TCTACAGCTGAGCACCCACAGTCACGTGTTCTGAGTACTTTGAACAGTCATGGGTCCCTGCATTAGCCACTGACCTCTACAATAAAAAGTTTCTCTGACCAAGTTGGGAGCCATACTGCCATGGTCTGAATGAGAGTGGCCCCCATAGGCTCATATATTTGAATGCTTAGTTATCAGGGAGTCCAACTGTTTGAGAAGGATTAGGAGGATTAGGAAGTGTGTCACAGGGGTAGGCTTTGAGGTTTCAAAAGCCCACACCAGGCCCAGTCTCTCTCTCTCTCCCTCTGCCTGCTGCTGGCAGATCAGGATGTAGCTCTCAACTCCTTCTGCAGCACTATCCCTGCCTGTGTGCTCTCATGCTTCCCACAGTGACGATAAGGGACTAACCCTCTGAAACTGTAAGCCAGTCCCCAATTAAATGCTTTCTTTTATAAGAGTTGGCTTAGTTATGGTGCCTCTTCACAGCAATAGAACACAAACACAAATCCATACATAGATTTAACATAAATATCTATCTATATTTAATATTTATAACTATATATTGATATGAACATAAATGTTGCAGGATACTTGCTTAACTATGCAAAGATGTGTTACATTTGCTTAATTATGTAAAGATGTGTTGCAGTTTTATTTTGCCTTAGGGCCGGGCGGTGGTGGCACACGCCTTTAATCCCAGCACTCGGGAGGCAGAGGCAGGCAGATCTCTGGGAGTTCGAGACCAGCCTGGTCTACAAGAGCTAGTTCCAGGCCAGGCTCCAAAACCACAGAGAAACCCTGTCTCAAAAAAAAAAAAATAAAGTTATTTTGCCTTAGGCACCTGATTGGTCTACTACAAAGCTGAATGGCCAGTAGCAAGGGAATAGGTATAGGTAGGTCTTCTGAGTAGGGAGAGTAAGTAGGAGGAGGAATTTAGGCTCAAGTGGGAGAAAGAAAAAGTGACACCAGGGAGATGCCAGGGATCAGACAGACAGACAGACATGGAGGAAGTAGGACATACAGAATGAAAGATAAAAAGCCCTGAGGCAAAATATAGATGATTATAAACAGTTAAATTAAAAGAGCTGGTGGGACAAGCCTAAACAAAGCTGAACATTCATAATTAATAATAAGTTTCCATGTTTTTATTTGGGAACTGGTTGGCAGCCCAAAGAAAATTCCAACTACACATAAATATTTATAAGACAGTTTAACAACATGACTACTTAGCAAAACAGTTATCAATAAACTTTCCCCAGGACCTATGACTTCTTTGGCCATGGACTTTGAATATGTTTATAGTACCAGGCACATTTTTTTTTCCTGTGGAGCAGGCCTCAAATCCAATCAAAACAGGAGCTGGGAACCACAGAAACAGTCTCACTACAATTGCACCAGTGGGTACACCTTACCTGGTAAGCAGGTCTCATAACATGCAGGCAGGACTATCCATACCATTTCTTCCTCAGCAACCTTCATATCACTCTCCAGCAATATGAAAACTAGCCATTGGAGACAGTTTCCTGGCCAGTTAAAGACTGGTTTGTCAGTCACCTACTAGGCTGGTGCTGCCCACTCAGCCAGAAGGCCCAGCCTGCAGTGGGCATGGAGCTGCCATCAGCTGCTTGCTCCTCTGGGAGGAGGAGAGCAGGGGCCAGGTGCTGCCTGAGGGCTGTAAGCACAATGATCACACCTGGGGAGCCTGTGGAGTAGCTGGGGAGCCTTGGAGTAGCTGGGGAGCCTGCGGGGTGGCCAGTGCACTGTCCAACCCCATGATTACCCTAACTCTATGCAACAATGTTATATCCAAGGAAAGTCTCAGGAGTATCCCAGTATTTATGGAACTTCAGAAACCTTGAGCCAGATCAGTGATGATGTGGGATTCCCCTCTGTGTGCTGTGAATGTGTTTTATTACCATTGGTTAATAAAGAAGCTACTTAGGCCTATGGCAGGGCAGAATAAAGCCAGGCAGGAAATCAGAACAGAGATATATAGAGAGAGCAGTTGGAGTCAGGGAGAGGTCATGTAGCTCCAAACTGAAGGAGAAAGACGCAAAGCTGGAATCTTACCGGTAGGCAGCTTTGTGATTACACATCGATTAATAGAAATGGGTTAGTTTAAGATGTAAGAGTTAATAAGAAGTCTGAGCTAATAGGCCAAACTGTTGTAATTAATATAGTTTCTGTGTGGTTATTCGGGTCTGGGCAGCCGGGAAATGCAAGAACAGTCTCCAGTTACACAATGATTCTTCGCAATAATGATTTGCATATAAAGAAGTTTGGACAAAATAATGCACTGTGTGACACATTGTTGGTCACAGCAGCACTTTCATAAACGAATGTGCGATAGGAAGATAGGAAAGATGGCAGGATGGAGTGGTGTGCTCGGTGGAGAGACGCCGAGATGCAGCAACTGGCACGGGAATGCAGCCACGGTGAACAAAGGAGCAAGTCATCCATCGCCGAGCTGCGGGGAGCCACCTCACCTCGCTTGCTGCCAGCTAAGCTGGGGCTGCCGCTTAGCCCTTAGGCCCAGCCTGCAGCACGGAGATGCCACTGCTGCTGCTTCTTGAACTGCTTGCCCTGTTGTGGGGAGGAGAGCCTAGGAGGGCATCCCTGCCCACATGCTGCAAACATGGTGGCTATGCCTGGGTACCCTGGTGCCAAGGGCAGGGTGGGGTACAGCAGCCTGGAACTCTTGCAGGTACCGTCCCTGAACATGCTGCCCAACCACACGGTCACCCTGACTCTGAGCAACAGCAAGATGTCTGGGAGGAAGACTGTTCGTTTTCTGGGTTGGCATCCGTGGTCCGTGCTGTCACTACAGGCCGTATCCATGTCCATGGTCTGTGTTGTTGCCAGAGGCCAGGTTGATGTCTGTGATCTGCGCTGCTGCTGGAGGTCATGTTGATGTCCGTGGTCCATGCTGCCCGTGGCTGCTATGGGTAAAGATGCTCCTTCTGCAGTTTGTAATGATGACGATAGAGCCATAAATGAGAATGAGACATTGAAGGTTTCTGTGACACTCCCCTCCGCCTCTCCCAAAACTAGTCTAGACAGGAAGCTATTGAAGCGAGTTCTTAAAAACTGATGAAGATGCTGGAGTAACTCTTCACAGTTGCTGGCTTCTGGGGGGGTTTGGGGAATGGGAAAGGACTCAGTTTTTTTTTTAAGAGGGTGGCCACTGGGAGTTTGACCATACTACAATGAGTATATGGGGGAAAAAATTGGACTTGGTATTTTTTTTTTTTTTGAGGAAGGAAGGTGGACCTGGGAGGAATGGAGAATGAGTGTGATTGGGTTAATGGCATGAAATTCCCAAATAATTAATTTAAAAAGTCTTGCAACCAAAGTATATAGTTTGTTCAGCAATGGGGTTTCACCATCTAGTTATGGTGGCCACCCCAGAGAAATGTTAATGGCTTTTATTGTTTTGGGTGCCTCTAGGGCCTATCTGACCAATAACTCACAGGGAGGTAATCCGTGCTTGGTACTAAGATTTTCATTTAATAACGCATGCCTTCTGGAAGCAGCACTGTTCACTAATGTGGGGTTGGGGTACTTCTGTTCAAACTTTATTTTGAAAAAGTTTAATGAGCTTACAAACGAGCTGGATTTCAATATGTTTATTCCTGTATCTTTAGTTTTGGTTAATGTATTCTCCACCCTCCTCTTCCTCATTGCGTGTCTCCACGCCTGATGGACTCTGGTTTGTTCTTTTGAGATAAGGTGTTTTGTAGGCAAGCCTGGCTTTTAATTTGCCTCGTAGCTGAGGCTTGTCTTGAACTCCTGACCTCCTGCCTCCATCTCCCAAATGCTGGGATCACAGGCCTGCAGTTCCCCTCTCCCCTTATTCACTGTCTGGTCCTGAACTCTTAATTCAAGTGATCCTCTGTGCAAGTGTGACGGCTCTGAGAAAAAAGGTCTCCTGGCAGCCGGGAGCCAAGGAATGCCAGAGTCACACTGCACGACCTACCTCACACAGTTTGTTTTTTATTTTATTTTTTTATTTTTCAGTTAGGAAAGACACAAGAGGGTTGAGGGTTGATGCCTCTGCTCAGGGGAGAAGCAGCAATAACTGAGCAGGAGGCATGCTGTATATAGGGTTTCGTGTGTGTGTGTGTGTGTGTGTGTGTGTGTGTGTGTGTGTGTAGCTTTCGAGGATGAGCAATCTAGGCCTGAGGTTGGTGAGAGTTTGTGACCTACTCTTAGGACTAGCTTAGGGACTGGTAGGATTCTGTGGCCTGATTTTAGGGCAAACTGAGGGATTGGTGGGATTTTGTGGTCTGAGCTTGTTTTTTTTTTCCCCCCTCTGGGTTAGAGCTTGGCTGCCCACATCTAGAGGGACTGGAAGATATGAAGTCCATTAGAGTAGTCTAGAGGTGCACACTCTGGCCTCAGTATCCCAAGTAGTTGGGACTACAGGGATGTGTGATCATAACTGGTTTATCATTCCCTGTCTTTACATGGTTGTGTTTAACTGATGCTTAATTCTTTACCAGTAAGGTAAGATTTAGGTGTGCCATTTGCCAGTTTTTTCCATGTTTCTTGTGTCCTTTTGTCCTTTCATATTAGACAAACACCCAGCTAATTTTAAAGCAACCGTTTTTGCTTCTTACTGTGTTTTTATTTTAGTGGTGGCTCTATTGGTTACAGTTAATATCTTTCAAATTTCCTACATTTTATTTTATGTGTCTGGGTGTTTTGCCTGCATGTATGTCTGTATCACTGGTGTGTCTGGTACTCAAGGTGGCCATAAGAGGGCATTCAGTCTCCTGGAAGTGGAGATATAGGTGGTTGAAAGCCACCTTGTGGGTTGTGGGACTCAAACCTGGGTCCTCTGAAAGAGCACTCACTACTCTCAACCTCTGAGCCATCTCTCCAGCCCCAACAACTAATATTTTAACGTCTTAATTTGTACCAACTTTCAGGAATATATAAATTCTTTATTTACAAGGTCTTTATTATTATATTGCAATTTCTCCTACTATGTTTATTTTGGCAAAGTATGCATAATGTAATATTTATCTTCCTAGACAATTTATACAGAGCTTTCTGCATGATGTCAGGTGGCTGAACAGGTTGGGGGAGTTTCCTTTTCTAGCAGTTGTTACTGCCTATATAACCTTAGGAAGAGCCTTGTGAATCTTGTTTCAGGAACTTCCTGAGACTTGTGAGTTTTGTTTACTTTTTAAGTTTCATGAGCCTTTCTTCTCTCTAAACAAGGAATGTGGAATTGAGAGAAAATTCCTCCAGTTCTTTATGCCACCTCTTCCATTATGCTCCCTGAGAATCGGCACTATAGATGTCCAATTATGGCTTGGCACTGGACAGTGAGAGTCACCTGTTATCTTTGCATCTCTGTGGTATGCCACCTATTACAAAAAGGAAGCTTCTGTTCTGCTGGATGCCACGTTGTTCAGTTCCAAAGAAACATACAGAGGCTTATATTAATTATAAACGGTTTGGCCTATTAGCTCAGGATTATTATTAACTAGCTCTTACAACTTAAATAAATCCATAATTCTTGTCTATGTTTAGTCATGTAGCTTGGTACCTTTTCTCAGTGAGGCATTTTCATCTTGCTTCCTCTGCATCTCTCTGCCTTTCCTCTTCCCAGAATTCTACTTGTCTGGTTGCCTCGCCTATACTTCCTGCCTGGCTACTGTCCAGTCGGTGTTTTATTAAACCAATATGAGTGACAAATCTTTACAGTGTATGTACAGAAACATTATCCCACAGCAAGCTTCCTTTCATGTGCAGCTGACAGCATCAGTGATCAATAGGCACGAGTATTTAGAAAGAAGTTTGTCAGGCACATCACATCTATTCAACAAATCAATAACAGCTACTTCCCCCTGAGGCCTGTGGACTTCCAGCTACAGGCTTTTGCCTTGGCTTACTGTATAAGTCATATGTTCCCCCATGTGGAGCTGACCGTAAATCTGGTGGGAAAGTCGGTGGCTATGGTCATATCAGTAGTGCCACTATTGCGCCAGTGGACACATATTGTCTGGTATGTTGGTATCATGTTTCACAAGGTTCATAGCTGACCAGGACCGTTGGTGAGAATCCTCTCCCAGCAGCCTGCATAGCACTGTCTGGCACTGTGAAAGCTAGCCAGTAAGGAGGGAGCTTCTTGTTTAGTCTTGGATTTATTTCTCAGTGTCCTGAAGGGAAATGATGTGGCGTCTTCAGCAATAGGGTCTTGTCATCTAGTCATGGAGCACAGCCAATGGCAACGGCAACAGCACATATGGTTTGTGGGGCCTCTGGGGCACAACTGACCAGCACTTCACGTGGAGGGAACTGATAGCTGTAACTGGAATTTTTACTCAACCACCTCATGACTCGGGATTGTCCTTTTCTGTTTATGCAAGATGCTCTTGTTTAAACTCCTTCATTACTGTTTACTATTCTTCCAGATGTTCTTACATATCTGTAAGATAGTCAAGGGATAACGTGATGTAATAAACCATTTTATAGAGGGAGGCAGGATCTCTAAAGTGCTGCCCATTCCTAATAAGTGCCATTTGGTCTTGAGCAGCTAAGGAGCTACTTAAAAGGGGTTGTTAATAACATCCAAAACAGCATGAAAAGATCTCATTACTTCTATCAATTCTTTTGTCAAAAGAGCAACACTGGCTATGAAGGCACGGGTGGGGGACACTATCTATCCCTGCATAGTCCACAGACATTTTACATGAGCCATCAGCCTCTTCATCCCTGGCTACTGCAGCTGCTGTGCATCTTCCTGCCCTGACGATCCTGAAAAGCCCGGCTTGAGTTGCCCAGATTGGCTCAGGCCCAACCACCCAGCTTTAGCCTGCTGTGCCTGCCACTGCAGCTGGAAACCCAGTTCTGATAGGCTCCGGGACAGCACTATGGGTCGTACCTTTCTTTGGGCCAGGTATGGCTTCTGCAAAGACCCCAGGCTGGGCAATAACTCTCCGCCCCTGGAGTATTTTGTGTCATATACTCTGGGGTGACCATTGCCCACCCCTAGGTTAATCTTAGTATTTTTTTTCTGCATTGTCTTCTCACATATAGTTAGCAGCTGCTGCTCAGGTTGCATTTCCGTTTCGTTTCCCATCATGTGACTGGCTTCCTATCTATCCACTTTAGCTCTCTAGAAACCTCAGGACAGTGTTGGTGAGTTATCTTTTTTATTGACGGTTTCTTTTTGCTTTCCCCCTGAAATGTACAATGCTTTGCTGTTTCTTTGTAGGCACTGTGATTTTTTTGTTTTGGTTAAAATTGGAAATTTGTATCTAATAATGCCGTGACTCAGTGGCGATCAGCTTCTCCCCAAGGTTTGCCGTTTGTGTCATTGATTTGCGTTCATTAGTCTCAGGTTGCTTCTGGGCGAAGGACCAGCATGACATCCTGCCTTGTCTTCTCAGGGCCTGCCCATCCCCAGTGTGCACGACATCACTTTTTAACTTTCTCACATATACAGTTCCTCGTCGGTAATTTAATTTTTGATGTCTGGGATTCTGAAAGAGGAAAAAAGAGAACAATGAACGGGAATGGAGAGGGAAGGGCCTCAATCCTCTAAAGCTTTTGGGTGTTACCCCTTGGGACAGTGGGATGTATTAGCTACTTTATACTGCTATGACGAACCCTGACGACACAGACAAGGACACAGACAGAGACACAGACACACAGCTCCATCATGGTGGGAAGGCATGGCAGAGGTGCCCTGGGAGGGCAGAGGCATATGGTGGAGGCACCTCAGAAGGATAACCTCAGATCATAACCTTCAAGGCCTTCCCTTAGCAACCTGCCTCTGCAGTGAGGCCCTGTACCCTAAGTGTTCCACAGTCTCCCTAAACAGCACCACCCAAGCGTCCAAACACAAGAACCCACGGAAGGAATTTTACATTCAAATCATCACAGGGGCTTGCAACGATTAGAGACACAGCAATGACCATCCATTGCTATGAACTTCTGTGACCTCAGCCCTGGTTAGATATTGGAGTACAGATTATAGCTATCTAGAGACAGAGTCCATTGTGGCCACTCACCAGGGATACACTCACACCTGCCTGGTGGAGGGGAACGGGCAGTGACTAATACGGAAAGCAATTGCACTTCATTTTTGAGCCTCCCCCGGAAGCTGCATACCTTCAATAGACTTCACAGTTCCACAGTAGTTACAGCACCCAGATTGTCCCATACAACTGTCAGCCATGGTGGGAACAGCTTCCCGCCCACTAGCTGAACCTCTCGCCCCAGGGCCTTCTGTCTACTGTTTTGGGGGGCTATTTCTGACTTCACATGGCTTTGAGTTACTGTCCCTTGTTTTCCCTCTAAGGAGTTCCCTTTAGTGCCTCTTCTGGTTTGGGTTATGATGGAACGACAGTCTTTTCAGATACAGAGTTCTTGGCTTTTCGTTGCTCATCCATTTCATCACCCCGTTGCCTACTGGCTTACATGGTTTCTGGTGAGGCTGACATATTAAATCTAATGGGGTAACTCTTGCATGTGATGGATTGCTTTTCTCTTCCAATTCAGGTCTCTTTGGCTTTTGAATCTTCAACTGTGTCTCTGTGAGGATCTTTTTGCATGTTCATGCCCAGAATCAACTGAACATCTTAGATATATAGATACCCCCCTTTTTTTTCCCCATCAGTTTGGGAAATTTTCAGCTGTTTCTTTTTTCACATTTTTTCTCTCATGAACAAAAATTCCTGAAAAGAAACTGTGTCTGGCTGTGAACAAAAAAGTTCCTGGAAGGAGCCAGTTGGAAATTTAGCACTGTGGAGAGATTGGGATTTTGTTGGCTCAGAGGCTAATTATTTCACGTGGGCTATTGTTAGCCTTCCGGAGCAGCCGTGCCTTGCGCAGTCTGTATCTGAACTAACACCTCGTGATAAAACCTCTTAGACGCTATTATCTTAGAATTAACATCGTATAATAACAAGTGAAAACCTCTGAGGGTCTAATTTAACACCACACCAGCTTTTCCCAACCTGAGAGCTAAGGACATCACTAGATAGCATCTTTGGCCTATGAGATAGCTCCCCGCAACTCAGAGTGCCCACCTCCCTGGTGCACCCACAAATGTCTCTTAAAGTCGCCTTGATTTATGACTATCTTTGTTCTATAAAACTACACAAACTCTGGGAAACTGCCTCCACATTGGAATGTGGAATTTGGGGGTAACCTAAATCTGTGTTCCTGGGCCATGGCTGCTCAAACTGGCTCCAGAATAAACTATTCCTTCTTCCCTTTAAGATGAGAACTCTGGCGTTTACATCAACACTCTCCATCCCTCTTCTCCCTTTGGGACTTCAGTTATGCAATTATTTGTGTTTGATGGTGCCCTGAAAGTCTCTGGTGTTTGTTTAATTTTCATTATCCTGTTTTCTTTCCCAGACTGGATAATCTCAATTGACCTATTCCTTTTATGGACTTTTTTTTTTTAAATCCCAGCTTCTCAGATCTCCTGCTGAGCTCCTGTAGTGAGCTTTTTGATTCAGTTTTCATACTTTGCAACTTCAGGATTTATGTTGCTCTGTAATTTCTACCATTTGTTGATATCATTCCTTGGTGTGCTTTACTTTCCCACTTTATCAGGCATGGCTTCCTCTGTGGGATGGAGGCCTTTCGTGGGAGGCTCTTACTACATGGTCCAAGTGGACCTGTAGCATGTTGTGTAGAAGAGCCTGGCTTGGAATTTGTGGCAATTCTGCGTCTCCCTCCCAAGTGCTGGGTTTGGCGGTGTGAGCCACCACGTCTGGCTCTTAGATCTCTGAGCATACTTGCGACTGTTAAAGTCTTTATCTAGTGCACCCGAGGCCTGGCCTTCCTCAGTAGTTTTTGTAGCTGCCTCCCACCCCCTGTGTATGGGCTGCACTTCCTTCTGGTTTTGCATGTTTTGTACATTTTTGTTGGAACCTGAACAGTTTGAGAGTATAATTTGACAACTCTGGAAATTAGATCCTTCCCCTCTTCAGAGGTTTCTGTTTGATGAGGTTTCTTTAGTGACTTAAGTTTGAAATATTTCTATTCTTTGCCATGCATGACTGTAAAGTCTTTCCTTGCTTAACTCAGTGGTCAGTTAACTACTGGACTGAAGATGTCCGGAATCAGTTCATCTCCCAGTTGTGGGAATCTCTATGTGTGTTGGGACTCGCTTAAAACACTTAGCCAGGTTCTTAATACAGTCCTCTCTTCCTGCTTGCAAAGAACCTCAAGGTCAGTCAGAGTTGAGAACTCAGGGGCCTAGTCAGGCCCTTCCAGAGCCCTGGACTTTCCTGGTTCCTTGGAATGTGCAGCCTTCTAGGTTCCTAGGGATGTGTTGGAAGTTCTCTAAGTTTTCTGTCTGTTTCCCTGCCTCTTATCTTTTCTTTTTTTCTTTTTCTTTCTTTTTTTTTTTTTTTTGGTTTTTCGAGACAGGGTTTCTCTGTGGCTTTGGAGCCTGTCCTGGAACTAGCTCTTGTAGACCAGGCTGGTCTCGAACTCACAGAGATCCGCCTGCCTCTGCCTCCCGAGTGCTGGGATATTAAAGGCGTGCGCCACCACCGCCCTGGCTTTATCTTTTCATTCTAAGGTTTTTTTTTTTTTTTTTTTTTTTTTTTTTTTTTTTTTGCTTTTCTTTT